CGCAGCCGCTCTTACTGTCAAACTGCATTAACTTCGCCTCGGTGAGGGGGTGGAGATGAGCGGAGAGAGAGCTGGTGGCCCAGGGCTCCAGTGGGGGGACGTGTCAGGTCGCTTGTCCCCAGGAGGGCAGGTCGCCCGATCGACAGCTTGGGCACCGGGGAGGGAACAGCACCCACCTCCAGAGCCCAGGAGCGAGGAGCCAGGTTTAGACCTGCAGAAAAGACACCTTGGGAGACACTGCAGTGTCTCCCGTGGCGGGGGCCCTGCTTACCTTGTGCTGGTGGCTCTGGCAGAGCCACGTTCCTGGGCCTGCCCACCGGGGAGCAGTGCTGGGGTGTCACACGCAGTTGCCCCAGTGACTTGCTGGCACACGCGGGTCGAATCCTCTTATGTGCCCTCCGTGTGGAGCAGGGCAGGGGCCAGCACTGGCTCCATCCAGCCTTTGGCCTCTCCCTTCCGAGGAGGGAGAGAGAGACCCTCCACCTCTGCAAGCACCGAGCACAGGGCTGCTCCATTTTCCCCCAACACCAGCCAGAGTCTCCCTCTGTGTCACCCACGGCTGCAAGGCACAGAGCAGCCCAGACACAGCCTGCACGGTGCAAACGGGCAGCAGCACCTTCCCCACAGCCCTGGCTCCAGCAGCTGTGGGCAGCAATGTCCCACCGCAGGTCCCGAGGACCGGACGGTCGTTTTGCTCTTCCTTGTCTGCCTCTGCCGCGCTTGAGCCCTGCCGCCAGGGCTAGCGACCGTCCTTCAACTCCTTCCGCACTCAAACGAGTGGCTTTTGTCCAGCAGAAGAAGTCAGCCACGCTCAAAGTCACTCTGCCCATCCATCCAAGGAGAGCAGAGCGCGCGGGAGGGCGGCGATGCCCAGGGATCCACAGCCTCTCAACGCGCCTCCCGCAGCCCCACGCGATCCGCTCGGCTGCCCCGCGCCCCCCTGAGCCGCTGCAGCAGGACGCGGAGTGACAAGAGCTGCTTGGAGTGGCTGGGAGGAGATGGCAAGGTGCCTCATGAGCAGGGAGGCACCATCGGGTGCCTGAGCGTCCTCCTTCGAGGACAGAGCTGAGGCAGCACCATCCCCTGGCTTTGCATCTAGGCAGGGATCCCACTGGAAGGACAACTTGAATTTCCTCCAGCCTCAGTTTCTAAAATGCGGCCTTTTGGACAGGAATCTTCTCAAAGTTCGTGCTTTGCTCATCAAAAATCACTCCTCCATCATCTGCTGAGGAAATCACCTTTAACCCCTGCAATCCAGCACCCTGCTGACGTTCCAGCTGCATTAATCACCCCAGAGTCCTGCCATGCCTGAAAAACCATCCCAGAGATGTGCTAGGATAGGGGGTATGCAACCCTTCAGCCCAGCACGGCTGCCAGAGCCTCCAGAAACCGCCACAGAGAAAGAGATGAGAGCCCAGGGCCCAACCACCCCATGTTCCCAAACATCCCCGGTGCTCGTGGAGATGGTGCCAGGCCCCATGGGACACAGCAAAGCTCCGTCTGGCTTGAAGCAGGTACCAGTTCCTAGTGCCATGTCCCTCTCCAAAAGGAGAGACCCTGGTGGAGGCCAAGGGATGTGTGGTCTGGCCCAATGCTGCCAGCTCCTGCTGGTGGGACAAGATGCTGCTCCAGCCTCAAGCTTCTTGAAGGACTTATGATGGGAGATCATGTGGCTGCTTCTCTACTACCATCCTTGTAGGCCTCCTCGCAACTCCTCCCGCTGTCCTATGCTCAGATTAGCTCCCCAAGCCTTAGGGCACCTGCAAACTTGCACCTCCATCTGGATGAAAGCTCTGCGAAAGCCCATGCTGACCGTGGTGTAAGCGAAGCCCACGAGGTTCTGCCCCAGGACCCACCAGCCTGGACAAGGAGAGCTCTTCTAGGCTGCCTGCAAGATTGCTAGCCCAGCAGCAAGGACCTCGGCTACGCTGAGGATGGTATATCCAACATCTGTGTTAAGCACCTCTCCCAGGGGCTTCCAGCTCGTGTTTACCCGGGAAAATCCTGCTCCCACATCTCACACCTTTCTGAGCCTCAGAAAGGACCCGGAACCACTTTGCTGCTCCTGTCAGCAAGGCAGAGACCTGTCAAAGCAGTTCATTAAGCAGCTTGAAAGGCTTTATGGCAAACATCTCAGCAAGGCAAAGCTCGCAGCCACCAGCAGAGCCTCCCCGACAGGCCGGAGCTTGGAAATGTAACGAATGGTCCCCTAGGAACCTGCTGTCCTCTCTGGGCAGCCATCTGCATTATGGCCCGGCCGGCTGCCAACGCCGCTCCCTGCTCCTTGGCTCCGCAGGGTGAAGTGATGGGTCAGCACAAGGCACCCCAGGCACGCAACAGCCCACGTTGGTGGCAAGGGACCGGCACTGGGGACCGGCTGCCGCTCTGGCACCGTCTCCAGTGCTGATTGCTCTCTTCCCAACACTGTGGAGCTCAGTTAGGGCAACCTGGTCCACAGCTGTCGGATCTGCCTTTCCTCCTGCTGCTGGGGATGGATGTGCGACGCACAGGACTGGGGGGGTCTTCCCTCAGGCCACCCATCATTTTACAAAATGACCAAAATGGAAAAGCCCGCATGATGCCTGCTCCTGCCACCCAGCGCGCTCCAAGGGGATGTGGGAGATCCCAGCCTTTGCTGATCCTCTTGTCCAGGGCTTCGCCTTCAGAGCTGGCAGCAGCAAGATCAGTAAGACCAGACTAACCACAAAAGCTAGGCCTGACACCTCCACTCTGCTCTACTTTACGTTCTGCAACTCGTGAGTCCATAGTTACCACGTGCACGTAGGGGTCCATGAGCCCCAGCTTCAGGCCTTGCCCCTTTCCCCATCGCCGCTCTCAGCAGGATCATTACACAGGCTCTCATCCTGGCCAACCCTGCTCCATTAGCTCACTCCAAAGGAGGCTTAATAGAAAATGTGCTCAATTATTTAGCAGACAAACGGGGGGATGATACCAGCTGAAGGCAGCCAGGGTCTCTGGAATGGACCCAGCGATTCAGACCAACTTCTGGCTCAGGTTGCCAGCTTCGGCTCTCCCTCTCCTCCCCAGGAAAACAAGGCTCAGTCATCAGAGCCTGGCAAAACATGGAGCACGAGGGCATCCCAGCCTGCAAGTGGCACTCAGAAACCTCAAGGAAGATGCTGCCCATCAGCTGTCAGACCTGGGCAGGGGCAGCATGTCAGGGAATGCTATGGAAGCCAGAACTGTCCCATGAGTGTGTCCCAAGACATGATAGTCCCTGGCTCCCCTCTTGTTCGGGCTACCTGCTCTCTAAGGACACTCCATGCAACCAGCATCAACACAAGGTTTTCCTTCCCACTCCCATAGCCCCCAGCAAGCATTTGGGAGTTGTGTTAACCCCGGAAGGCTTTATAAAAATCTGGAAGCTTGGACAAGGATGGCACCAAAACTCTAGTCCATCATGACCAGCATCAACTTTCCTGCCAGACCTGACAAGCAAATGCGCTTCTTCTTTCCCAAAAGCACAGTCCTCTCTACCCACGGACTAACGCGACCGATGTATCGTCTGTCTCCTCACATCCCAGCGCGGGCAGTGTTCCCTCTATTTGTGCTTAATGGCTCTCTTTTGTGCCAGGAGTCCGTAACAAGAGGACTTGCTGCCTGGCTGAGTGTCCTGTGCTGGGCAAGGAACAGCAGAGGCATCCGACTGCATCCGCCAGCACTCCTGGATGAGCCTGCGCTTGGGGAGCTCCAGGCTGGCGCCGTGCACGGTCTCGGGACTCATTATCCGCAACCTTCCCCACTGGGGCATTTTGGGGACCTTTTTCTTCCACTCCTGGATGAACACCAGATCTCTGCCCAAGGCAAAGTCTGCAGCACCTTTCAGCTGAGCATGGCACAGGGCGAAGGTTGCTTCTGTGGCTCGTTATAGATATTAAACCTTCAGAGAGAATCCTATGCAAGGCCCAGAGAAGACATCCCCAAACCATGACATGAAGTCCTGTCCCAGGTCCTCATCTTCTAAGGCAGAGCCTCCCTGCAGTGAACCAGCCTGGTTAACAGCTATCATCTTAGGTAATCTCCACAAAGAAGTGTCCATAAGCTCAGGTCTGAGTTGTATAATCACCTCCTAACACTCACTAAATACCTGGAAATCCACCAGTTACTAAATGGGACCCAGAAGAAATTTCTACTTGCTTCCAACACTGCTCAGGTGCTTCCGAGGAAGGAAAAAAGCCTCAGAATCATTTGCCCATCCTGTTATCCTGCCTGCTACACCGAGAGAAAAGAAGGAGCACCAAGAAGGAATGGTTAATGTAAATGGGGTTTATACAAAATGAGTCTCATCTGGAGAGGCTGGTTATGTGTCAGATCCTTTACATCTGTTCAGTTATTTCCCTCAGCTACAAGACCTATGGCAACCATCTCCGGTGAGAGGCTACTGACCGGAGGAGGCTTCTAGTCCTCCTTTTCCATTCCATGGACCATTCTCTTATTTGTGTGTTTGGAGATGTACATTCCTGATGCTGCTGTCCAGCTTTTATTGACTTACACCATCTCCCCAGTTTCAGGGCGACTGTGGGGTAGAGACTGCAGCAATGTTTCTACGGGTTTCTGCTTATCTTAGCTGCTCTTCCCCAAATAGCTTCCAGCCCTACAGCATCCGACGGAGACTGGTGCAACTGGGCATACACACAGGCTCAAAACAGGTCCAAATCCTTGAAGGACACAAAGGCAGTAGAAAAGTCTCTGCTTTGTATCTGTGTGCTTTGCTTGCCCCCATCCTGTTCTTACTTGCTCTTTTGGACTGCAGTGGCACTAAGAACCACCCCATAGGCAGAGTACGACGCTCACACTCAGCTCCCGAGCCAACGTACCCGCATTGAGAGTCCTGTAAGGGCAGACAGTGATTCAGTTTTCCCCTCAATGTGAGTTACTCGGTCTGTGGTTAAGCTGCTCTCTCGCTGCCCATCCCCTCCGCTCCGGTAGGGATGGAGGATCTCCAAGCCACTCAGCCTCAGTATTTTTACATCTTGATTGAGCTAAATAACGCCGCGGCAATGTTTGCCTGCCTCTCTCAAAACAGCAACGTATCAAACCTCAGATTTAGTGCAAAGCTTTGCAAAATCACGTAGAAGTACTTTCTTTTATAGAGACTTTTCCCTGTGCTTTCTCCTGTTTCACCTTGTGTTTCTCCCACTCAGCTCTGTCCTCTGTAAGGAGATGATGCTTTTCTCACATCAATTTCCCACTTCTAATTTAGTGCCCCTTTCCAGCACCCAAGGAGGTGGCTACAGAGCCCCTGACTCCTAGGCAGAGACTTGCCACTACCCAGCTACATGCTGTGACCACCTCAGGTTTGCAATCTACAGCCAGATGATGCCTGACCTGCAGAAGATGACGTTAGCTCAAGGGGCACAGGACTACTTGGCTACTTACAGCCCCTTTGACACTGCCCAGGTTTTGCTCACCCAAAGCCCAGTTGGCTTTTCAGGCAAGAGAGACGCAACCTGGAGGCCTTGTCTTTCCAGAAGTCCCAGCAGGCTGGGAGTGATGAGATCTTCATCACATCACCAGCTTCCCGGGGCTTTTTGGAGTTTGCTGAAGTAACTTTTGCCCTTTCCACACAGCAGAGTTCTGGGGGAGAGCAAAATCCCCCCATGTTTGCAACCCAGAAAGGCCACTGAGCAGTGACCTTGTGCTAAGCACTTGGCACTGTCACACTTGGGGCTGTGTGACTGGTGCAGCAGCCACGGGAGGCAGGATATAATTAGATTTATTTGTGTACATCTTTTGAGTCCTTGAGAGAAGAGGCTGAAACACTGGCTGCAGGGCTAAGCCGCTCGGCCAGATGGGGCTCTGTTCTCTGCAAACCCAGAGACTATCATGTTCTCCAGATGCAAAAACAAGCAGGACGTGCAGCGCACACAGAAGAACCCCATCTCCTACAGCACCCTTGGGGCACAGTGGCAGGACACTGGGAGACAGCAAGGGCAGGGTGGTAGAGGGTACCAAAGCCCAAGCCTAATTTCAGGACTCAGGCCAAGGCGGCAGACACACATAAAGCATCAACAGACCTCCAGTCTGAGCCAGGGCTCCACTATTGCCATTTTCAGCGAAGACCCTTGTAGACTGACCTGTTCCCCATGATGTGAACCTCGGCATCCACAATAACCACGGGCAGGTGACAGGCTGGACAACTAGATTTGTGCCTGCGGCTTCCAAATGTGTGGCCATCATCTGAGATCACGCTCCTTTGCTCTCATCTGCCTTGGGATCTCCAGGGGACTGATGTGCCTCATGCTCCCTAGCCTCCTTGGAGGTACCCAACCATTGAAGGCGGAAAGGTCAGCCCCCTGAAAGGGGAGCTGAAGGGGGAGAGGAGCCACACAATTATGCTTTTCCCTGGGGCACTCAGTGTTCGTGAAGAAGCTGTCCAGAGAACACCACTTTATCTGTCAGAAAACACTGCACTTTGGGCGGACGGGAACCCTGGAGGTCTCCAGTCCAACCTCCCATTCAGAGTGAGATAACCCACTAGATCAAGACCTAAATGATAAATTAGTTCAGCTTTGGCTTTGTGCCAAATCACTCCCCCAGGAGTGTGCCAGGGAGTAACTGGTAGCCATAAAGACAGGACGACTTGGTCCACTGAAAAATCAACATCACATCAGTGTCCAGAGAGGATTCATCTCATTCCTCTGTCACTGGTTTGGAAGCTGGAGAGCTCTACTCACATTTTGATGCTTCCTCAAGAAGCATCTACACTGGAAGAGCTTATAATGAACTCCCACAACAAGTCCCGTGTCCCGTAGCATTTCACTTCCATCTCTGTGTCAGCACAACTCCTTCACATGCAGCATTCATAGCCTTCAGCAGTAGCTTGCCCTTACATACAGTGCCAGACCCCATTCTAGGGACGAAGCTGCATATTTGCTGTCAGTTCAGCCCCTCAGAGCAACCTCTCCTGAGTACAAGAGCTTTCTTGCACCATGAACAGGAATATTGGGATGCAAGTGCTGCAAGGAAACGCAGCTCTTTGGCTTCTGCCTGCTCACTGCACCACATTGCCTCTTCTCACTTCACTCTTCACAAACTCACGCTGCTCCCACAGTGTCTCCCGTGGCACTGCCTGCTGCAGCCACCCAAAGCAATGGTGTTTTGGCAGACAAAAGTCACTCACCCTTGAGCATCGGTGTCCACAAGCAGTCGGACCAGTATCCCTGTCACAGCCACAAGGATCGGGTAATGATCCACGCTCTCCAGCCCTATGGAGGCAAAAGAGAGAGAGAGAGAGTCACTCCTACAAGCAGAGGTTTCCTGATCAGGGATCTTGCCAGGTTAATGGCAAGCCTGAGGGTTGCTCACATTCATCTCTCTGATGAATTTGGAGACAAGCAATGCTTCCCAAGAGCATTCCTCCAGGACATTTTCAATGGGAAGAGAGGGACAGAGACTGTGTGCGTGGACTCACCGGGCAGACGGAGGTTGACCACTCTGTCAAACAAGTTCCTTTCTGCTGTCACACGGTTCAACACCTGGTTCAAGAGCTGTGTGGGAAAAAGCAGATGGAGTTTGCATTTTCTGGACAGGCCTTCTTGTGTGTGGCACCCAAAAAACATGCTTTGGAGCAGCTTGTCAGGCTGAGAGCCTGCGTGCTGCTAAGTGGGTTCCCCCTCCATTGGTGGAAAAAGCACGTTAGCAAGAGAATTAATAGAGGACATTAGTAATTAACACATTTGCCCCTTTTTACACCTCCTAAATCTCTACCCTGAAATGAACAGCTCTGCAACACGCTCCTTTCAGAACTACAACAGCTGAAGCATCAGCTAACGCTGGTGGTCATGGCCTGTCGCAGACCCCGGAGAAGCTGCCACGCGCCAGGCAGGACCCTGGCAAGGGCACGTGCTGCCACGAGGAAGGGGAAAGACTGAAGCAAGGCGCTGGGCAGGGCTCACCTCCGCGTGTCCGCACGGGCTTGCAGCACACTCCCAGCTTGGCCGAAGTCCAGAGGCAAGTGGCGCTGTGCCACAGTGGTTTTACTGGAGCCAAATCTCCTGAGCGAGGGTCAAGTTGAGATCAAGATGATCTCAGACTGAATCCAAGCATCTTTCACTTAGGAATCCCACCTACATCTACCTTTGGAGGATGAAGTTCTTGGCAAGCAGAAGTTACAGCCCCTAGGATGTGCCACAGTTCAGGACATGAACACGAGCTGGGCAGAAGCAGTGCCAGTGGGGAGAGGGGCAGGCAAGGGTCCTGCCTCACCTGGAGCTGGCAGCAGGACAGACCTGCCAGTCCTGAAGTGTGGGACAAGTGCACAGAGAGCTGCTCTGCTCGACGGAGCATCACCACAGACACAGATTTCTGCCCATGAGCAGCACTGGAGGAATCAGCAGTATTAATAAGCCAGCAGTAGCTCCTGTCTAAACCCCCAGTGGGGCACGTAAGGCCATTCCGTGCTTGACACCAGCACTGTGAGCTGTGTGCAGTCTCTCAGACACAGCAGCCTTCTCTTGTCACCCTTGTGCATTGATAGCAAACTCTACACAGCCCACTCTTCACGGGCATGTGCAGCACTGGGGCACAGCTTTGCAGGGACACCAGGAGGTGTGGAGGATGCTGTGGCACCCTGCTGGCTCTCCCTCAGCCTCCTCAGACCACGGGCTAAAGATGCTCAGAGCAGTCCTGCTCTCTGCATCCAGGCTATGGCCCGAAATATGGATCAATCCAAACCTTTCAGTGAAGTATGTATGCCATGTCCCCACTAGACTGGCTCACATGAGGGCAACACAACCCCAGGACTTTCTAGGGTGCATTTTGAGATGGGAAATTTAATTCACTGCATCCGAAAGGTTGTGATGGGGTTGTACTGATCACTCTGGCAGCACAGTGGAGAACTTTGGTACTGCACTGCAGCACTGAAGGACCAAGACTCCAGCCCAAACACTGGGGCAAATGCCATGTGAAGCCAGCTGTATCTTCTGTAGCTCTTTGCAGAGACAACAAACCTTCTCTCCAGATTTCAGGCCACTGCTTGTCACAGAAGCATTTAGCATTTCCAGGGCAGAAATAACTGCCCAGAGCTAGTCTGTAGGCAGATTTATGGGGCACATCTTCCTCCTTCTTGGGTGAGGATCAAATCAGCTGTGGCCAGATTATTTGCAAAAGAGGAGACACTAACACATGGTGATTTTAGGGAGCACCATGTGTTCCGCAGTGGTTGGATTTGCCCAAACAGCTTTTGTCACTGAAAGCATTTACAGCAGAAGCCCCCTGTTTACAAACTTAAACCAGCGAGTGTATCTGGACAGAAGGACCACCTACGCTCTGTCAGAGGATATTTTTTCCCACCGCTTTGCCCACAATACTCCTCAACAGAGCACAATACCTGGGCAAGCCTCCGGAGCAGCAGTTCTGATGATGGGCGATTCCAGTCGAGAAAGATCTCGGGCGCCAGCGTGACGGTCATTTCCAGCACCCTAAGCAAGCTCACCGACAGGTCGAAGCACGTGGCACACACCTTCAGCTGGCGGCTGTCCACAAAGTTCCTTTCCAAGCGCTCCGCTGCCTGCTGGATCTACCAAGCAAGAGAGTGCGCGGCTCAACGCGGCGCCGCTTCCCAATGGGGTGACCCCCAGCTCAGCTGGGCTCCCACCTGCGCGAGGGACCCACAGTAGTCCCAACCCCAAGGCACGTGGGCTGGGTGTCGCTCTGGGCAGCGTGCGGACACCCACGAGAGGCAGCTTTTTTTCGGGGCCCCCCAGGAGAGGCAGCCGCGCTGCCACAGGCGGCACGCTCACCTCCTGAATCATGCCGATGAACTCGGAGAAAGCCCAGTTCAGCTGGTTGAGGACGCTGTTGAGGAAGCTGGGAGCCAAGTCGCGGTCGCCGCGGAGCAGGTCGGCCATGTGCCTCTGCAGCAAGGTGGAGGGACACGGCTCTGAAACCAGACAGCGGCAGCTTCAGAAGCCTGGCCCAGCGTGGCCAGGGGGTGCGGGACAGGCCAGGGGTTGGTCCTGAGCTGGCTAAACGTTGGCTTCTGTCTCAGTGTAACTTGCTGTGTTACAGTAAGCGGAGATGGCAGGGCACGAGGAGGAGGGCTATTCTGGGCAGGCTCTTGCCTGCCGTGTCCCCGAGGGCTCTTTTGCCACACTGGCCTGGACTTGCGCGGGCAGCGCCCGGCGCCGGCCGCGCTCTCCTCACGCGTGGGCAGCCACCCTGCAGCTCTGCTCAGCAGCAATCGCTTCCGATTGCAGTGCGGCAGCAGCTGCCCACAGCCAACACGTCCAGCCCTGGGCCTCACGTGGCCACGCCAGGCCTGCCCGTGTCCAAGGAGGAAAGCGCCCAGCACATCCCATTCCTGAGATGCTTCCGCCTGGAGCTGGGGCTGAGCTTTGCTCCCGGCTGGATTGGACAAGCAGAGCTGCCCACGCTCTCTGGCCAGGCTCTGCCCACGCGAGGACAAGTCCCTGCTCTGTGGGGACCCTCTGTGTCCCTATTGAGGGGGTCTGTTCTCAGGAGCCAGAGCTGGAGCAGGGCAGCTGGGGAGCGGCACAGCCAGGGCCGTGTGGGACACGGGCAGTCGGAAACGGGCCAGGACTGCGTGAATGTGACGGATGCATCTCCCTCCATCAGCTAGAAGCTCACAAAGGCATTTGACACAACATGGGCAAGGTAGCAGAGTGCAGACTGTGGGCTAAAACTCAGGACTCTCAGAATATAGAGGGGAAAAAAATCAACTGTTTTTCTTTCTCCTAGGAGCAAGGAGTAAGTGAGAGCAGGGGGAAACTCGGAGAGCTCTGGCACTGCAGCGCCTGGAAGAACAAGCTGTGCATTATCACCCCACGCAGCCAGCACCCTGGCTTTGATCCTGGGCAAAAACACATCCCAGGGAGGGAATCTCGGAGGTCCCACTCCCACCCCCAAGTACTTTCCCAGCTCTTGGTTGCACGCAGTTCAGGGCCTGTGCCAGCCAGATGTAGTTTTTATGTATTTACTGATCCTCAGTGGATTGCTTGCCCAGTATCCCCTTGAAACTGCAGGCTTTTAGCACTGAGAGCATGCTGGAGTAAAGTTTCACAGCTTAGCTGGGCACAGCAGGAAAAATCCTGCCCTTGCTCTGATCTCAGCTTGGCTCCTACTCATTTTATTTGATATTATTCTTTGCAGCTCCCTCCTCCTGCTCAGCGAGAGACAGAGAGCTGCTATTCTCTGATGGTCCTCTAAGCCAGCTGAGATTTCACCGACCCTTCTGATAGTCCTGGGGCACTCACTCTGAAAAGGAACAGCTCCAGACTACACCGTTTGTCACCGCTGCATCTTGGTCACCCTCCCCACCCCTCCGAGCCTTGCCAGGTCTCCTAACAGAAGCACGCACAGCCATCAGACCCCTCACACAGCAGATTTGCACAAGGACAAAATCTGCTTTCATTAATTCTCTTCTCTCTCCCTTCCCTGATAATTCCTGCCATTTAAGTTGTTCCTTTGACTATGCATTAGGTTGATCTTTTCAAAAAGATTGCAATAGGAGTAAAGCTCAAGGGTACTCTTTGGTAAGAAATATAGTTCAAGATCCTACAGAGCTTTCTGGCTTTGGGTTGAAAGTGGAAAAGCCCAAAAGCCAGTAATGGAGTATTGCCTTCCGTGCCAGCAATGGATGACGATGCAGAGCACCCAAACAGCAAATTGGTGGATGACACAAAAGGAAGAGGTGTCTGAAGCGCTAGACTAGAACTGTACTCTAGGAGGGCCATGTGAAACTTGAGGATCCACATTTTCTCTCCCAGTCATTCAGTCCTTTGGCAACTTTCTTGTGTTGCTGTTGTTTATAGTCTCTCCTCAACTTGTAATTTTTTTTTTTTATTAGAACGGCTAACATCTTAGCTCCCTTCCAGCCTTTTGGAACTAAAACAGCTCTAGGTGATATCACCGTTGAGCTCCGTGGGTTGTTCTGCTGGTCTCTTGCTAAAGCCTCTGTTAAGAACATTTCAAGCTGAGACACATCTTAAAATGAATCACGCAGCCAGTCTCACCCCTCTGAAGGCAGCTCTGGCTTTCCAAGGGCTGCTGTTTTGCTTGTAATAACCTGCTTTAGCTGTTTAGCCAAAGGCTGTTTCCTCATGGTTCCAATAAGTGTCATGAATTTGCTCCAAGCCCCCAATGCCAGGTCATTAACCGCTTTCCCTGCTGCCAGCAAAGACTGTGCCAGGTTAGAAAAGCATTAAAAAGTGGTGCCTTTTATCACACTCCTCTATGGCTAAGCAGTCTTCTTTTTGTTTTCAAGCTAACAGCAATAAAAAGGGGGCTCCCTTGGCTTTTGTTGCTCCCAGGACAATACCGATTCCAAAGATGCTGCAATCACTGCTACTCTTTGAAAGCAACATTAGGAATCAGCCCTGGGCATTGCCCAAGGCCCGAGCAAGGGAGGGTCTTCACTTGTGCAAGTTCTCACATCAGGTTCTCCACGGGGCAAATCATTGGTGGTAGCTAGAAACCCAGCCCGGGCATTAGAGCCTGGTACTCTGATTATCTCCACCTGCAAGAAGTCCATCTTTACTGAGACGCTTCCTTTCACCTCCCTCCCAGAGCTCTGTGCTGCACATCCCAGTTGCCATTACCCCCCTGGGTAATGACACAACCCTTCTGCGTGCCAATTTAGGCAGGAATGTTTTGATCAGGAGCCTGTGGATACTTGTTGATGTGGTTATTTTCTTCATCTTGCCAATAAAACATCATTAGCGTTTCTAAAACGTGCAACTCCTTAATACAAAAGCCACTCAATCTTGCTTTAGCCTTCATTATGGCAGATAAAGATCAGGCAATGGAACAGAAATCAGCGGTTTTCCATGGCCAGAAATTATGACCTCAATACATTTAATGTGGGCAACAGAGCATGGCCCCAAGCAGTTACAGATAGATCCGACGTTTCCACAGGACTAATTTCCCCACAGAAGTAAGAGCAGAATAAGAGTTGGGGAAAAAAAAGAGAAGATACTCAGTAGGGGAAAAGCTGAATAGAAGCACAGAGCTCTTTACAAAGTGTGTTAGGTAGTCAGAGACACCCAATGCCACAGTGAAGCATAGTGAGAAAGGCAATGCAAACATAATCAAACATGTTAGCAGGCTATGAAAAGGAGGAGGAGTAGGAAGAGAAGGGAGGTAGAAGGAGAAGACTTAAGAGAAACATCCACAACTAACCTGGTGACATACAAAGTTTCTTTGACTACATGAAGAAATTCTAACAGGATTATCAAAGACCTCAGTAATGGGAGAAAGTCTAACAGCAACAGATAGGTAGTAGTAAAAAAATAACAAAGCAAAGCGGAAGCATTCATTAATTATTCTTGCTAATACTTGTAAAGAAGCAGGATCATGTACTTTCAGCAGGGGAAGAGAATTCTGTACTCTGTAGCTTGCTAGTGACCATGAAGGATCTATACCAAGGCCATTTGTGAGACACTTGGGCTGCTGACCAATGCACATACATATGGGGGCTCCTGACTTAGCAGGACGTTCAGTCGAGCTGTGAATACAGAGGAGAAAAGCCTAAAATGGACTGGCTTCAGAAGTAAAGCAGTTCCACCCAAAATCAACCCCAGTGTTGATGTGAGCAGATCCCAACGTAGATTTGAACAGCTGCTGCTCGGTGTCTGCAGCTATCAGACTGATCAGGGAGAAAAGTAAGTGTAAGCAGAGGGATTCAGGTCACCTGGAGAGTTGAGCTCATTCGAAGAGCTCATGCAGACAACCAAAGGGAACTTTGAAGGTTGAAGGAGAAGGAAAACAAGCTGCATCCAGGGAATGGGATGCACAGAGCAGCAGGCTGCCCTAGTGCACAAAGGACCTGCACACAGCTCCAAAGCAAATCACTGCAGGCTAATGCAAGTTTTGGCTCAGTGACTGGTGTATTAGGGAGGTGATCTACCCAGCATGACACTGCCAACTCTGGGGCTGTTAAAAAACAAGAAGAGTAAGGACAGGGACAAAAAATGTTAGCTCGTACCAAGGGTAATTTAGCAGGGAAAGGCAGAAGCAGCAGCAATGGATGACAACAGCAGTAGTTGAGGAAAGAAGTCATAGATTTATTTCTGAAGGTAAGGAACCACCAGAACAAATCACCACAAGTTGATTCTTTTGGTGTTGTTGGACAAAGAATGAATTTCTTCCTGAAAAACCTCCCTAGCTGGACAATTTACTGGACTCAGGGTGGGGTAGTGAGGCCTACAGTGTGCAGCAGCTCAACTCAGGGATCTCACAGTCCTACCGCCTACCTCTTGCTGCTCGATGGAGGCGTGGGGAGAAGGTCTAAGGTAGAACAGCCCCGGGGCAAATGGTAGCCACCCTGCATCTTGGTAAGAGAAATGGTCAAGGCACTGGGCCACTGCTGTTGCACTCTGCGTGTATTTTAACAGGACCCATTCTTGCCTACAAGCCACAAAAAGCAGCAGCCACACTAAAGCAAAATGAGTGCCTCGTGTGATCAGAACTCTCTCCTCTTCTGAACAGAGCCACCGTCAGCTCCCAAGAGCCAAACTCGACACAGAACCCTATCCTCACAAGAGCTGTTCGGTGACCTTGGCTAAGCAACAGCCTGGGGGGCAGTAACACACACAGCCCTCTTGATCTCTATCTCCGGGCTGGCCCAAGCAGCCATCCTTTTGTAGGGATCTCCCGGAGCAGTGAGAACAGGCCAAGTACAGCTCAGGAGAGCAGCGAGTCTGCGCTCCGCAGGACTCCCGGGCATTGCAAGGCGGAGCACCCAACCTTTCCCACCTGCGTGGCCTTTCCCAAACTTTCTCCAGCCCACGGAGCGAGGTTGCGGTACCAGCCCCAGACTGCACGGAGCCACCCAGAGAGGGATGGAGAGGAACCTCAAAAGCTGAGAAACCTCCTTCGTGTCCCAGAGCCCTCTATGGTCACCCCACGGGACTGGCGGCAGGAGTGTGAAGCGACAGCCACGAGGTCCTTGCCACGCACGTACTGGAGCTTCCGCATCGTCCTACAAAGACGAGAGGAACCAACAGCTGGCACAGCCTGCAGGAAAGCTCTGACCCAGGAGGTAACACTCATAAAACAGGAGTGAGAGCGGGTTTGTGACTCAGCCTTGCATGGTGCCACATAGGCAACAGGCTCCCTGGCATCTCCCAAGGATGTAACTAAGAAATGAGATCGTCGTGCGACTCCCCTGCTCCCCACCCAAACAAGGGTCTCTCAAGACACAACAAGGGAGGGAGGGAGCTCTCTAAAGCTACATCACCAGACAAGAGAGGGTCACACAACAAACTTACTCTGGAAACTAGCAAGAGAGAGATCTCCTGGGCACCCAGGGGGAGGAGAGAAAAAGAGAAGAGTGCCATTAAAACAGACATAAGGCATCTTTCCCTGCAGGAAGGGGCTTAGGAAACATCTCCACAGGTCCTCTGCCCATGCCAGATTGCAACATCCTGTATCCCTGGTCCTCACACTGATCTCCAGGAGCAGTGCCCACTAAGTAAGGTCTAACCCAAAATCATTTCCCCCCTCCGCTGGAATGTCTCCAACCAGGTCAAGGCATCGCAAGAGGGAAGTTGGAGACCTGCTCTTGTGTTTGAGAGATGGACTTTCCTCTCGCTACCTCTTTCTTGGCTGCAGTAGAGCCGAGGAAGCCCTCATTTGGCAACGGCGCTGACAGCAGAACTGCCATGCCAAAGGCTCTGCAGGCTCTGAGACAAGTGCACAACTTAAACATGCCCTGCTCACAAACCTGGCCAGTGCCCTGCCTCACTCCCTCTCACATGGTATCTTGGCACCCTTGCCAACTCTCCCCGTATCAGCTTGTCATGGTAGAAATCAGAAAGCCTTCAGTCATGTCGGGATTTTGGGGTAAATCTTTGGTAAAGATGCAGCCCTGGGTGCTTCACCTCTCCCCTGAAGGGCAGAACCCCTCCTAGCATTAGCTCTAATCCAGCTCTAATCCTGCTTGCCAGAGAGTTCACCAGCCCAAATAGCGGGATTGGAGAAGTCCAGGAAAGGAAGAATCGGGCCTGGAAATTTGGGGTGGGTTCCCACCTACTTCAGCAGCCACCTCACAACCTGAGAGACGCCTACAGGGGAAGAGACCGGTCCTCCCTCACCACCCTTCAAACCTGAGGTGGGCCACTCACTCTGCAGGCTAGGGAGGCTGGCATCCTCAGGCTTGGTTTTCAGCAGGTGTGGGAGCCGTGTGTATCTGTACCCGAAGCCACAGCCCTGAAAAGAGAGATGAGGAGGGACCTCAGAGGATGGAAAACAGCACAGGGCTTTGCTACTACTGGAAAGTGAAACACTCCATGTCCCACCCTGCATATAGGGTGGCAGTGAGAGGAGCAGGGATGTATGTTCCTTACCCGCCACAGCCTCACGAGGATCCAGTTGGTCTGCGCCCAGGGCCGCTGCTCGTAGGGAGCCAGGAGGTTCCTCATCATGGAGATTCGCCTGCCAGACAGAAGATGCAGGTCAGACATAAAGAGGCCAGAGGATTAAACAGCATGCACAGAAGGACCCATGGAGCCAAATCACGGCACAACTGCTGGCACGGGGATGGACGGAGGTTCCCCAAGTACCCTGCTGCAGCTCCCCTGGGCTTCTTGGTAGCTTGCCTGCTCCCCCAGCCAGCCTTGCCCACCACCCCAGCCCTGCCGCAGCCCCCGAGGGTGAGACAGGGCAGTACTTACTGCTCCTCTGGGATCCTCTCAACAGCTCGCAGGGAGTGGGGGTAGCACACATAGCTGGCCAGCGCCTGCATCAGGGAGTCTCGGATGTCTATGGAGAAAGGAGAAGGGGCTAGGCTAGGCAACCAAGGAGATGCTACATGCCTAGGAGCACCCCAGCACCAGAGGCTGGGAGAGACTGGCCTCAGGGAGAAAGATGACCCTTATTTACAGTCAACCCTCTCTGGACTTGTTCTGCAGAAGACACCAAATTGTTGGGACTAGATGATGCACTTGAGGGACAGGCCAGAGGGACCTATACAGGTTGGAGAAACGGGCCCTCAGGAACCTCATGAAAGACCAGAGCTGGGTCCTGTGTCTGGGAAGTGGGAACTCCCTGTGATAAAAGTTGGGCCCAATTGGCTGGGGAGCAGCTCTGCTGCAAATGACCTGAGACTTGAGGTAGACAGCAAGCTGATCACGAGCCACCTGGCAGCAAAGGTGGCCAGTGGCATCCTGGCCTGCATGAGGAGGAGTGTGGCCGTAGATCTAGGGAAGTAATTATTCCTCTCTACTCAGCACTCATTAGACCACATCCACACACTGTGTTCCCTTGTGAGGAAAGAGAGTGGCATCAGCGAGTTCAGCAGAGCGAGTTCAGCAGAGGGCTGCCTAGATGGTCAGAGGCTGGAGCACTTCCTCTGCAAGGAGAAGCAAAAGGAGCAGAGCTTGTTTAGCCTGGAGAATAGACATCTTTGGGGGAACAGAAATCTTTCAGTCAGACTCTTTACAGTGGTACATGGCAAGTGGACAAGACACAACAGGCACAAATTGAAACAAAGAGAGGTTCACACTGGGTTTATGGAAAACCTTTTCCTTCATGAGAGCAGTCCAGCATTGAAACAGGTTTTCCTTGAAGGCTGTGCAGTCTCCATCCTTGGAGATTTTCAAGAACAGACTGGATAAAGCACTAAGCAACCTAGTCCGTCCCCATAGTTCCCCTGGTTTGAGCAGAGACCTCCTAAGGTCCCTTCCAGCCTGTATCGTTCTTTGATTCCTGCCTGACTTATGCTTTGAGTTACCTGCACCTTTTGTGCTGCAAGAAATCCCAGTCATGAGCTGGGAGAGTTTGAAGGAGCAGGTTTCTCAAGGGTGACTGAAAGCAGCTCTGGGTTTTGTGGTGGGAATGCATGCCTGGAGTCTTAGCTTGACCCCCTCAGAAAGACTGTGTGTGCTAAAGAATGAAGGGAAAGACAATTCTGGTAGGAGGGCAGGGTTATTTCTAAATCTAGATGACTTGACTGGAGATAGGGATTTTTATGACCTCCTGAGGAGGGAGGATACATGTGCCTTTATGAATGGCTAAGTCAGAGCAATAAGACAACCTAGGGCTATATGAACAAAACAGGTTCCCAGGCAGCTGGAACTAAATATGTTGGATCATTCAGCCTTGAGGATCTACCCACATACAATTGGTTACACATACTAAGCAGATCAAGGAAGGAAACACTAAAACTTGTCTCCTGAAACAGTGGTTTTCCCACAAATTTGGTCAAGATCAGTGACTGGCATTTTTGTAGAGCTCTCCTTTTGTTACCAAAAGGTTGTGGCGCTCTTTGGATCTCTGTGCACAGCCCATCTGTGCTTGTGTCTGTTTGCCTGCTCCTGTCCCAGCTCAGGCAAAGCAGGAGCTCTCCCTCCCAGCTAATAAGGAGAGCATGCCCATGTCCAGGCAGTGGAGGAGTAGCGCTAGTCTTGACATCCAAGCAGCTGGACACACGTCCTGTTCTCAAACTGGGGGCCTAGGTCATGTATCTAATCCCGGAATAAGCAGGACACACCAGGCAAGGGCAGTGCCCAGCCTCTGTCTGCACAGGGAGGCACAGAGCACTCAATGGATTTGGCACATAGATCCCAACAGACGTCTGGTGAGCCACCAACAGTGGCATCAGCCAGATCTGCAGCACTTCACCCCAGAGCAGAGGAGAGCAGCTTCACCCGTGCCCACGATCCTTGAGTCGGCAAAGTGCTTGGCCAGGATGGCAGCAAGGCGCATCAGGGTCTCTTCGTAGCCTGCAAAGAGAAGGAGGGAGCAGAGGGTCACAGCACGGCCCGACGGGCAGCCCCATGTCCCCAGTTGTCTTCCAGACTCAGGAAAGGCTGTGAGATTTACTCTGTGTTACATGTAAATTTGCAGGTCAGTTGAGTGCCTAGTAGTCGCAACAGAGCTGGGAAAACATATTTATCTTCCACCAAGCCTCCTGCCACAGCCTGAGGAGTCTAAAAGAGTCAGAGAGTAGGGGAGAAATGTTGGCCTAGCACAGAAAGGGCTGAGCAACACACACACCACCCTAGGCCTACCCAAAGAGCCACTGTCAGGTTTGCAGGCCCTGAGGAAATCTGCTACAGCTTACTTCTTGCTGTTCCCTGAACAGCAAGCACCATCCTCACTCAGTGGCTGTGAGAACATCAGCTATGCCTAGTTGGTGGGAACAAAAATCCGTCTTACTTTCGCAGGCTCTGGAAGACACAGAACAATTTGCTAAGAGGTTGCTGAGACTGCTCAGTCAAACAAGACCCTGGGGTGAGGAGGATCAAGTCTCACAGGACTGCTCTCACAGCTACATTTTAGCTGCCTTGCAAGCTGCAGACCACAGGTAACAAGACCATGAAGCGGGCACCATGAGGAAAGACAGAAAAGCTTTTTTATCAGCTAGCTGCAATAAGGGCAGCATGACTTGCAACAAGCCTTCGAGCCTACCCTCCAACTGCCCACACTTCTCTTCACAGTGGTCAGCATGGGCAAGCAAGCCAGGGCTGCTCAGCTAGACCTTGGATCCTTCAATTTTGGGAGCACAAAGTAGCAGAGCAGGAAGCCCTCCACGCCAGGATCACGGGACTGGGGACAGGCTCATGTACACTGAGACAGCGTGCTGAGAATCACCTGTCTGTTCTACAGCTAGAGATGGGAACTTGCTAGAAAAGCTCAGCTTTCTCCTGCCAGCAAAAGCACAGGACCTGCACTGAGGAAACACAGCTAAATGCAGGCTGATGGCATCAAGGAGGTGGTTGTCTCTGTAGGACAGTTCCATAGGTTGCCTCCATAGTAACCCAAATTGCAGGGCGGGATGTGAAAGGAGTCCCACTCCCCATGCTTACAACGCATCTCCCACAGTCAGAGGTTGGTAGTCGGTGCCAGTGGGCAACTACACCCTGCCACATCCCACCCATTTCTGATGCCTCCTTAGAAACAAAATTCACAGCCGCTAGTGTGACACTCCCTGCAGTAAACACAGTGACAACTCTGGGCAAGGCATGGGGCTCCCTGCCCAAGCGGCTACCTATGCTCGAGGGACAGAACCCTGTGCCTGCCCCACCACACACAGACAACACCCCAAGCACAACACAGCAGGAAAGCACTCAGAAGGGACAGTGTGCAACAATCCTACGTCACCTGCACACTGTGGCTTTACTGAGCCTTTGTTAGTCGGGATCAGAACAGCCCCCCTAGCCCCTTACCTGGAAGTTCCTCCATGCTGTTGACCGGGCTGAAGTAGTTCTTGAGTGCACTGTAGCTGTTCATAGCCACGCTGAGGTAGAACTCGGGCATGAAAGCAAAAAGCGAGCCTGTCCTGTCGCCGTGCTCGATGGTGCGGATGCACACACGCAGCAGCCAGTATATGTCCTGCATCTTCTCCTGGCCAAGGAGAACACATGATCCCCAGTCAGTTTTGTCCAGCTTCTCTTGGGAAAAATGCAAGAGTCAGCTGTGGTTTTGTCTATCTTGACGCTTGAAACGCTCTAAGGACTACGCTCACCACAGCAGACCTGATCGCCTGTGTTATATTGGCCAAAGGGAGACAGGCATGAGAAAACCCAGGATAAAGCTGTTGGGGAAAAAACCCTAACCCTTTGTAAGAATGAACAAACCAGAACAGACCGAAAGCTCATACAAACTCAGATCTTTGCATCAGGTGACCACAACTTTTGGGATTCTGCACCAAGCACTCAACTGGTTTCACCATCCTGAGGTGACCTCTTTCATTTCTATAGCAAAAGCTTGGAGTTCCTAATTTAGATGCAGGAAATTTAAGGGCATTTATGTAATTTTGATCCTGTAAAAATGAGTAATAAGAAAGAGAAAAAAGTTATTTTGTAACCTGTAATGCCGAGAAGTAGCATGAGCAGTGTGAGCAGGGGGGTTGGACTAGATGATCTCTAGAGGTCCTTTCCAACCCTAAGCATTCTGTGATTCTGTGCATAAAAATGGGAGGAAGATTCCAATTGAAGGAAAATCAGAGGTGCAGATATCTGGTTGTGTTTGCTTGGTGGTGCTTCTGCACCATGGCACTGCCTTCTCTGGGAGGTTTACATGGGTTTGTCCTGTAAGTTAGACCAAAATGTGTAAATCGGCTACAGGACTAAAACACATGTATCTCAACACTGATGCACATCTCTGCTCAACAGCTCCTTCCAGGATAAAGAAAACAATGTGCAAGCAATGTTAGAAAAAGCAGAAATTGGCTTTATTAAGACTTGATAACCTCAGAAAGTCACGCCAATTATTGCCAAGCTAGATTAAAGCCTACACCAAGAGAACACAAAGTAATGCTTACATCCACAGTATGACAGACCAATACTGTGTCGTAACCAAGTAAGCTTCTACCTTGGCACCAAAACCCTGGGCAGAAATCATCTTCCCACGGAGTTTTTGAACACAGCTTTAAAGCTGTGTTAAAACTAAGATTTTTCTAAGCTGTATCTCACCCTTTTGCCTAACCTATTGTGAGCTGAATCTCTCAGCTCATAATAAATTAGTGACTAATTCCCCAGAGGAAGGAGCAGCCTTTCCCAGGTTCTGACACCTTGGCAGAGCCCTTGGCTTCACCTACAGACAGAGCAGAACCTGTCTTCTCCTCCTCATGAGCAACGAACGCCTGCTACACTCATCCAGATGTATCCTTCCATTGCACACAAGTCACCAGGATGCCGGAGTCTGCAGGTCTTCCCTAGGCAGTATTTTATATATATATTAATAATATACTGATTATATATCAGCCAGAGACATGTGCTGGGTTTCTGCATGGGCCATCACAGTGTTAACTGCAATGCACACGTATTAACACCCCTCAGTCTTTGCAAAGCAGGCCAAGAAGAAGGTCTATTTGCTGGCAAGCACAGGTTGTGCTAATGTAGCTGGAGAGCTTTTGTGGAGCTGCGCTGTGCCTCGCAATCCTGCTCTGCAAGTGAAGGTGGAAAGGGGTGAGAAAACAGCTTGTGAGTCGTATCAAGCACTGTTATCTGACCCTGCATCTCTTCCTCTGCCTCTTCAGGTCCTGGGACATATGTAGAGCCTCCTTCCACTGCAAGTTAAGGGAAACATGTTCCCTCCCCCAGCACAAAAAGCCTACAAATGCAGACAGGACAAGCAACACGAGGGAGGTGGGGAAGCTGAGATCTCCATAGCATAAGAGCACAAACTGCTCGCAAAAACAGACCAGAGAGTTTATCCTGGAAGGAGATGGCACATGCAGGGAAGAAAGGATGAGCTGTGCAAACAGTCGCAGTCTTACTAAATGAAGAATGTGCTTTCCCAAGTGCATGGGAACCCAAGTGAATAAGGGCAGAACATCTGAGCAACAACAAAAAAACTTGAGACATCATGTTGGCAAGGATCCTGCAGATTTCAGAAGGGCAGTGGTAGTAAGAATGCTCTCTTAAGCAGAGCAGAGCTCGGTGAAATGGTCACAGGAGCCTCTATCCTCTATTCACTCCCCAGGAACTAGATCTCTGACCCTCACTCTTCTGTCTGTGAGGCAGAGGCCTGATTTCCCAGTGCAGAACCTACAGCACCATGCACAGACCACACTGGGCTGAGCTGTAATGAGTACCAACAGACCAAGCGTGGGACAAGAGGGGACCCATGCCTGGGAAGAACTCTCCTGGCAACACGCACGAGCCCAGAGAGCATCAGCCTTAATCCAACATCAGGGACAACGGCACTCGTGGCACATGAGCTGAGCAGCACGGATGCAGAGATGCGTTTGCTCAGGTCCCTCCCCAGGTGCTCACACAAAGCTCCTGCCCACCTTTGAATAGATGGTGACATTGATCCAGGCAAGGCGACGACTTAGGTGATTGAGCTTCTCAGAGAACACCTTCTGGCTCTTCAGCAGTTCTTCATGGATGTCTCTCCTCTGTAAAAAGGTGCAGAGAGGTGAGGGTAGACACCATTCTCCCATCTACATTATTCTGGACAAATAATGCAGAAGCAAACACCACCTTGGGGCTGCCTAGGGAATGCTGGAAGAGACAAAAGGGTGAGTGGCTACTCTAGAGAGGAGTGGAAATCAGTGCTATGACCACAGCCCACAGGGCCTGCTGCGGGTCAGATGTGACTAGCAATTTCAGGGTCAACTGCTGTCAGAGTTGTTTTTTATAGGTTTCATCAGAAAGATTGAGCTGGAACTGGATGGAAGAGTCCTGAACACAACCTCGGAGTCTATTTCCTACTTGTTTTTTTTCTGAGTCTTTCATTCTGCATAGCAGATCCAAGGAAGACACCTTGGAAGTGGTATGGCTGTGATTCAAAGGGTCTCTTCTGCATAGGAAGCCTTTCTAAATCCTATACCACATTCTTGATGTGTCCTCGGACCCCCAAGAAGATGCCTGCAGAGAGTGTGCAGAGATTTGGAAGCTGCCTCAGCCTGTCTGTGACAAGCCAGAGCAGTTGCCACCTTCATTCCCTCAGTTCCTCAAGGCAGAGGTACAATGGGTTGGGACACCGTGAAACACGGCTGACAGTTATGGACCTGGATTACTCTACCCAGGGATAGAAGTCAGCTGCTCTTCTTCATGCTCTTTGTTCATGTACTGAGATGCTACCAGAGGGAGCTGGGAGACCAAAGATACTCACCCTCTTTGGGCAACGGCTGATTTTTTCCTCTGTGTCTTTCAATGCCATAGCGTATTCATTCACATCATCTGACACACCAACCATCTGAAAAACAGGCAGACTCCAGCAACACAAGCCTTTTCCCCCCATCCCTTAGATAAGCAAGTGAGCAGCCTGCTCCCCCAAGGGGCTGGGAGGAGAAGGAAAGGGCCTGCACACCAGCTCAGCGAGCAGAGAACAGAGATTCAGCGCAGAAGCACAAAGGCTGGGAAGAGGGATACCAGCACAGGGTGTGCTGCTTACCTTCCCAAGCTGCTGGTGGACACTGAGGTTGTACATCATCACTATCCCATCCAAGACTTCCAGGAGGGAGTTCTCTGTGATGGGCTGCTCCGGCTCCTCTGGGGGTCTGCCCAGTAAGAGACCCTCATTTCCATGGCTGCCTTCAACTGCAATCCATCCCCAAGACAGGAGAGAAGTACTCAGCAGGGTATTTTGGCACCTCAGCTTCTGCCTGCACCTATCTGAAGCCTGTGGCCAAAGTCCTGCTGTACTTTCCTGTAGTACAGTGCTCCCTTCCAACCCACACAACCCATCAGTCACACAAACACACCCTTCCCACCACTTCCTGGCACACATCAATTTGCGAAATCTGTCTGGATAAACCCAGGCCATGAAAGCTCCACTTGGCTGCACTGCTTGCAGAAACCAAGGCCACATCTCCCAGCACACAGGGAGCTGCAGCACCATCAGCATCACATACAGGAGAGCAGAGTGACCAGCAATGGACTTGTGTGTCCCAGCTTGCACTGGGAAGGCAGTGAATCATCTGCTAGTCTCTTGAGCACGCTGGAAACGGGAAGAGACCATTCTCTCAGCTGGCCCGGCCTAGCACGCAGCGGGTTACTCACTGTCCTCCTCCGTGCGCTGCTCCACGCTCAGCGTGCGCACTTTGATCTTCTCGAGGGCGCCGAGCGGCCGCCGCGGGTTCATCAGGCTGACGGCTGCGGTGCTGAGGAAACGGTTGGCACGGCCCAGTGTGGGGGAGCTGAGCCAGCCGGGTCTCGCCAGAGCCCCACCGATGGCCAGCGCAGCAGAAGGACGCTGAGACTGGGAGGAAATTAGAGGAGAAACAGTTCCAGTTGCTGGGCTGCCCACTACTCCCCGCTTGTCCCTACAAGGATTTCAACACAGGCGCTCAGTGACCACTGGACAGGGAGCTGATACTCTGCTCCAACACAGATGGGCCAGCAGTGCAAGGTTAACAAATCTGGGCCCCTTCCTCTAAGTGCACATGAGGAACAAGCAGCAGATCAGCACACCAGGAAGTTGTTGTGCCTACGGTTGCCTTGCACGTCTACAAATGCAAGCACCAAGAACCGTCTTGCATGGGGAAGAAGCATATACATATCAGTGGGCTGTGATGGTGCACAGCAAACAAAACTGTTGCTCAGATTTGGTCCCATGCACTGGTTACAGTCGTGAGACAGACAGACACTACCTTCATAGAGCAAAGATTTTCTTGCCGGAGGCTAAGCTTGCTGGCACAAGGGGTTTAACCCTGCTCGTGAATCACATCACACAGCTCACCTGGGCTGCTGACATTGCTGATTCCTCGTCTTCATCAAGATCATCCATAGTAACTGCCTGCAGCTCTGCAGGGTCAATCACGACATTGGCCTTTGCAGCCAGGTCATCTGTACAGAGCATATCAGAGCAGTCATGAGTGCAGGAGCCACTTCTGGTGTCACCAAAAGCAGCCCTAGGCTTGTCCTCTTTCCTGCTTCTTTGCAGTAGAGAAGTAGCCAACCAAGTTAGATGCTGTGCCAGAATGGGCTCCCTTTCCCCATAACTTTTTTTACACGGAGCAGGCATGTCCTTGTTCACACAGTAGAGACCAAGCAGCAGTGGGTGCTGCTCATCTCAGACCCATTTTGGTTCCTGCTCCTACTACCAACAAGCAGGAATAACCACACAAACTAGGAGACAACTATCAAGACCAAACCACACTAGTATATGGGGAAGGGACCTCAGTAGCTAAGGCCATTTTTTAGGACTCCAGTTTTTGAACAATGTTCCACCACGTTTCCAAGCCACTAGGACTGCAGATCCCCTCAAAGACTCTCAGCAGGCACCACTGGCCTGACCAAGGTGTCCTCTACTCCATAGGCCTATCTCCAAAGCTGGCCAGGAAGAACTTGGCAAGAGACAAGAGGATATTACTTGGTTCTTGAGTTAAGCAGCCAACTTTGGACAGTCAGAGCTCAACTTGAGAGAGGGAAGATGGTTCTAATCTTGGAAGCTCACTGGGGAAGGAGAAGAGGTATCTGAGCTGAAAACAAGTGTCACATTAGCCAGAAACCATAGAAGAACTAAGTCAGACAAGGGGTTCTTTAGTACAATTTAGCAGAATTCCCCACCACTCCCTCCCCAGCATGTCCCAAACAGGATTTAGAGTACACGTACTGGACTCTTGGAGAGTGCTCACCTTTCAGAGTCTTCTTGAGATGAGACAGCAGACCTCCAAGTCGCTGCAGGTCGAAATAATCCACCTTCCCATTATAGAAGAGCTGAGGAGGGACATATGCCTCTAAAGCAGAGAGGGAAGAGTTTGTTCTGTGACTCCCAGCCACAAGACCCACATACACACACCAGCAACAGAGCCTGGGGTCCAGCCTGGAGCCATGCTGCACAACAGCTTTTGCTGTTGGAAAAGCACAAGCTATCAAATGCAGAAGTGATTTCTGCAGCGAAGCCAAGCATTAGAGCCACACAGAAGCAGAAGCAACTGATGGCCAAAAGCAGCCTCCCTCTGGTCACTTCCTCCTTCCCAGCCACAGACACCGAGGAAAATCAGATCATTAGAAAACTCGGTAGCTCTCCACCTCGCTGTTCCAGCTGTCCCAGGCTCAGCCACTTACTCCCATGGGTATCTTAAGGCACTTTTGGGGGCCCAGAATAGGCAGCGCATCGAGGAAAGGCTAAGCCTAAAGTAAGAAAAGGGAATATCATGCAGATGGTAGCAGGACAGGCAAGGCTGGGATTGAGGATGGGAAAACAGCTGGTGCTGACATGGCTTCCCCTTAATCCCACAGGCCAGGAACCACAGAAACAGACAAATTATCTCCTCCTAAACTTTTGACTATGGGATCACTGAGCTGTTCTCACACACAGCAATAATATTGAATTCTGCTTCGGAGCATTCAGAAGAAACTGGCAAATAGTACATGCATTCCTTTGCAAGCCTCAGAGGAACTAAGTGGAACAGATCTGGACCTTATCTGGAATACATCTGCACACTGGGATTCCGCAGGGCAACCACCGGCACAGGGTTACAGAAGGCCACAGGATCCATACAGAACCCAAGAATTCCAGCATCCCAGAAAGGTCTTCCAAGAGGCAAACCCCCATGCCACCCACAGAAGTATCCTCAAACCTTTTCCAGGCCTCACCTTCGCTGCTCAGGGCGGCAGGGCTCTTCGTCTTGTGTCCATCCCAGAAGAAGCGCAGGGCGGCGATGAGCCGGTGCAGGAAGCACACCATGTACTCCGGAGGGCACAGCACGGTCAAGTTCTAGGGCAAAGAGAGATTTTAGATGGATGTTCCGTTCCTTTCCTCTAAATCTGCGGGTCACAAAACTGCTCCCAATGACCTTCCCATAAACCACAGCAAAGGTCTTGGAGAAGTTTCCTGGATTCTAGCCTCAGATCTTCTCCCTCCTCTGCACTTCCAGCCATCTCCAGACCTGATCCAGCGGAAACAGCCCAACCAAGTGCATAGGAGCTCCCAGCCCAAAGATGCAGAGAAGATTTAGGGTGAGGTTTGTGGGAGGGGCTGGCCCTCTGACTTACCCCTCTGTTGCTAGCATTTTCCTGAAGAAACTTGCGGAATTTGTTTAGGAAGATGTATCTGGAGGCTTCCCCCTGGGAACACAAAACCATTAGATGAGCTTGCAAGGAATGTGATATTTACCCATCTGCCCAGGATCTGCAACATGTTTGCCTCGTAAGACGTTCACTCTGGGCATTCATTCGGGGTTTAGGCACTTAAGGCAGAGGAACCCAGTGGGCCTCCCAACAATCCCTGTGTCTACAGTGAAGCACAAGCTCTTACACAGCCTGAACTTCCTGAGAAAGGAGCTGTATTTAGCAGGAGAAGGTAACTATCCCAGTCTCCACCATTCCTGGGAAGCCCAAGAATGCCTCAGTGGCTTTTGTTATGCAATCAAATGCTGGGTTTTCTGAAGTCCCTGCTAGGACCTACTGGTTATGGTCAGTAAATCTTTGGTTGTGCCCAGCTGGATGCGTCCTCCAGTGCCTCAGTAGAGGCCCACACCTACAGAACGGACATTTCTTTGTGATTTGTATTAAATGTCAGGGTAGGATGAGGTGTAATCAGACTGCAATTGCTCAGTTCAGTAGAGACCCAGTACTGGCCTAGATGAGATTCATATTACCAGCAAGCCCTGGCAAAGCTTCTGACCTCCCTTCACACAGAGTCCAGTCTCTGCAATGCAATCTGCCTGAATTGATCAATTTGTGAACTGATCCCGAGGACCAAAGGTCTCTGCAGCTGCACTTCTGTACAGAGACTGTGACATGTGTCACACACAACAGGCAGCATGGCTCCTGCTCCCAGAGCTGGTGCTCATGTAAACTTTAATGGGTAGCACAAAACCCTTTACAAGCCCTGTGATGTGGAGATACAGTACCAAAATATCTACTGATCACTTACCCCTCCTCTGTCTTTATTGTTGAGCAGCAACTTCAGAATCTGAACCTGGAGACCTTCCACCACTAAAATTGGGACACATCAGTCAGCCATCGGACAAAAAGCACCAGAGATCATCGACCCACATTGACCCCGAGCATCCTGTCCCCATGAGAAACGCAGCTTCCTCAGAGCAGGCAGCCCAGGAAGAAGCGGGGCCAACCAAATGTTAGTCCCATCACTGTGAGAATTCCTCCACTTAGCAGTAAATCCATCCATAGCCGACAAGCAACATCTCTAAAAGAGAGCTTTGATTTTGCTCGTGTACCATAGCAGGATGCTACAGATGGGTGCAGCAAGTCCCAGGACTGCAGGGACATGGCTGGGCTCCTGCTTCTGCAGCGCAGCCTGTTGTGACAAGAATGTGTCTGGACTTCAGGTCACGGAGGGGATTTTAAAACAGCTCCTGGACTGCTCCCTTTTGCCACACAAAAGCTATGGGATCTTAGCAAATGGCAAATCTTAGCAAATTTCCCTCCCTCCCCATAGACCTTCGATGCGTTTCTTGAGCCGCTGGCAGCCTCTTTCATATGCCCGCCGCCTCAGCCTCTCTTCGGAGCTCTCCTCCTTCACTTCCTTACTCTCCTTGCCCTGGTTGGGGGACAGACACTGATTAGCAAGAGATCACTGCATAGGGAATGTCCTCACTTCAGGGGGAACAGAAATTCAATTAAACTACATGCAGGTGGGCAGCAAATCTAAACAGCTGCCCAGGCCATTGGATGACCAAGGAACAGGCAGCTTTTCAGTATGTAAAAAGTCAAGCTGTAGCTTCTGAGACAGTGAGGTTCACTTCCAAATCTGCTGCCAGAGAGAACTGTCCCTCCCTCCCCTATCCTGAGCAACAAATTCTAAACCTCCCCTCTAAGGGAAAAATAAAGACAACAGGACAAGGAAGAAGAGGCAGCCCAAAAAGAACTCTTCAGGGTCAACCAATGCTCCCACAGTTGGAAAAACATGGGGCATCCAACTTCTTCAGCAAGAAAGCAATTGGATAGATGCTTCTGTGGCCATAGCAAGCCATGAAATTTCTTTAGTCTCCCTACTGTGAGATTTGCTCTTACTCACCTCTTTGGTGAAGCGATTTGGCCACCACGTGGTGGGAATGAGCTCCTGCAAACCAGCCTCCTCCACACGTAGAGGGCTCTTGATGTAGAAGAACACAACCGAACGGAGTACATCAAAGCTGTGGCAAAGTTAAAGTAAGCACAGAAGCTACATGGCAGAATGTGCACAGTGCATTTTCACAACTGTAATGCGAGACCCCTTTCCAAACAACCACTCAAAGCTCTGCAAAGTCCTGGGAGAAGCCCCATGTAGCTGTCACAACTGACAGCCCCATGTAGCTGCCTGAATGATTCCGTGACGGCTGAACTGCTCTGAAAGTGGTTTTGCTCTAAGGTCATTAGGGTGGTCAGTCAGGTAGAAATGAAGTCCTTCCTCTTAGGAGGATGTGACCTATAAGGTACCAGTTCTCTGTCCTCAAAGCAGCATTTTGCAAAGAACGGTGTCAGGCAAACAGAGGAGACCTGAGAGGTGACCTCTCAAAGACAGGGTGCTTCTGCCCCTCAGGCCCTGCAGATCCCTCAGTCTCCTGGGCTGCACTACTGTGGGCAGGGAGAATCGAGAGCAGAGGAGATGCAAAGGATACAGAACATTGCTGAGTAGGTATTTCCTGGATTTCTCATGCTTCAGGACTGCAATAGTGAGACGGAGGTAGTGAATCTAAGGGAAACAAGAGAAGCAAAACTGATTCCGTATACAAACGAGGACTCAGTCCTCTAATACAACATGACAGAACTGACATTGCTGGATGAAATGGCTGCAGATGGTTCAAAACATAAGCTACTTTTGGACAAGGAGACAGCACAAACAGAATTCTGGCTAGTGACAGATTCCTGGAGATTTGGAAATGCAACTCACTTGTAATCCCAGGTCTGGGATGATGGGGGAGAACCTGTAAGCCCGTAGCAGGGACATCAGTAACTGCTTGAGGCACTCATGCACTTCATACTCCTGAGAAAAAAAGAAACACATCGAACAGCAATAGCAAGGAGTGAGGAACAGGCCTTGCCTGCAGCATTGAAAGGATGCAGCACCCACTTCTGAACTGAAAAGGCAAGTGCTCCAAACCAACAGTGTTTGTCCGCTGGAATCCATGGGAGAGACTTTTGCCTGAGCAGAAGTTTGTGCTATTGCTCTCCTACAGGGAAACAAACTTCTGCACTAGTAAAACCAACCCTGTGGACTTCCACCATATGTCAAAGTCCCACGTTTAATTCAACTGGGTTGAAGCAGCCCCATCTCCACATCCCTCAAATTTACCCAGCACATAGCATTGGCAGAGCTAACCCAGAAAGAAAAGACAAGTTACTCCTGTGTAAATGAGGCAATGGTCAGAGACCCCAAAAGGCAGCTCTTCCAACTCAGAGCCAACCAGCAAGAGAAGAGTTGACTCTCCAGGTAATGTGGCACCTCTGCCAGGGCCTTTTGGCTTCGCTTCTAGGAGAGTAGGTGTGAAATTTTTCAGTGAAACTTTCATGGCTGGAAAGGCCAATGCTCACTTCTATTAACTGTTACCAAAGGCAGATCTAGCAAGAACTCGCGCCCCAAAGGACAGAGCCCGGCCACCAAGATCCTGGCAGTGACAGGCTCTGGGGAAAAGCCCCAGCATATGAGCAGCAGCAGCTCCCCAGTGGCTAGCAAACACCAGCTCAAACAGGCATTCAGGGAAGCAGTGAGCCATCATTCAAGCTGGACAGGAAAAGGTGCAGGAAGGCCTTTTTTGCTTCCCAGCAGCACTGTAAGTGGGGGATTGTGATGCCTTTTCCACACCAGGTCGATCTCTTGCAGCACATATCAAGGGAACAACTCATTAACCATCACAGAGCAGGAACTTACTCAATAGCACTAGTTCCTTTAGCAGTAAGAGAAGCTTAGAAATGCCTTCCTAATATAATTCCTGGTATCGCCATTATTGATTACTCTGTATTCAATCCTCATTCCTTGGGGCTGCAGCAGCAGCCAGATATCCCAGGCGAGATGATGGTTGTCACCAGGACAGGAGAGAAGCTGATGGCTACTAGCATTTAACAGAGAAGGTTCCTGTTCTCAGCACTTTTCATGCTCTCCTTGTGATCCCTGGAGAGGAACCAGTACCCTAATGACTCACCTCCATGAGAAGCCACATGAGATCCAGCAATTGCTGGATAAGGGGATGGGCCTCCACTGCTCCTCCTCGCTCCAGGATACTCAACAGGAAGGTCATGAGCACATCTTCGACCAGGTACACCTTGCACTACAAATAGAGAGCAAAATCAACAGTACTCCAAGGCACAATCATTTCCTAGTGAAGACTAGGGCTGAATTTGCCTCCCCTTACAAGCACAGTAGCAGGTACCTTCAGGAGCTTGCAATGGGCAGACAAAACTCACCATAAGAGGGGCAAAGTAATTGAAGATGTGGGCTAACGTAATCAGCACTGTGGGTTCTCCCTGCAGCTGCCACACGGACGTGTCCTTCTCCACCAGCTTCCCTTCCTGCAAGGACAGACCCAGGGAAACCCACAACTTAGATCCAGCCTGCTGGACCCCAAAATCAACAACTAACAGACCAAGAACTGCAGAACCACATTTCCTAGCACAGTGCACAACGGAGCTGTGCAGTAACACTAGCTTACAGTCACATCTATCCCGATATGGATCACATTCTTCAGGTAGCCCAAGAGCTTGCGAGCCTTCAGGAGGTCTGCAACAGGAGGATCTTGCAAGGGGCGGTAGCCTTCCACTGGATAGGTAGGCAAGCGTTAAGGTAAAATGCAATCTGATACTTTCATCCTTCCTCTGAGCACGCAAGAAAAAGAGCGTATCTCTGTGTGTGCCTCCGTTACAGTTCACACCACAATGTATTTCCCAACGGCTGAAAAGCCACGAGTTCTTTCCCCCACTTCTTCAATATCGCAAGCAGCAAATATTTCAGACCACACTTGTGCTCTCATCAGAAAAAGTGGAGAAGCTTCCACTACAGCTAATTAACAGGCACATTCAGGACTGCTCTGACAGGCAGCCCCCCTCTACAGTATTAGATGTCGGTTCAGACCAGAAAGCAAATCTCAGGGCAGAAGCTGTCAATGCTGCTTGTGTGCCCAGTGGTTCTGCTCCAGCTAAGATGCCTGATTCTTCTCTCCTTGATGCCACTTTGAGCCAAAGGGCCAAGAGAAGGAGTGGATTCCCTCAGGTATGGATATTCTACAACTTCCCAGGATGGTCTCAAGACCATCTCTTTCCCCTTCAAACCTCCTCAATCTGCAGCCAAAGGATATCGGAGCGGGCGGCTGCCGAAGTTAAAAGCAACAGACTCTTTGAACGACAGGCTGATGGCAGGGAAATAAGCCATTCCAGCACCCCTGGTGATGTTATCGAAAGCGGTTCCCAGAGATATGCCGTTCCTGAAAGAAGATAAGCCCATGAGATTTCAGCCACACTGGGAGGGTTTTGAGCTCACTTGGGTAACCCAGGTATTTTTCCATTCCCCTCCCACCAGCACAGACATCTCAGTCAGTCCTGCCCCTCCTCACCCTAGACCTGGCCCACAAGCAAACACCCCAGCTTCACTGGGCACATTTTCATAAGGTGGCACAGGAAGACTCTGGAGGCTACACAATATGCAAAGCCCCATTCAGTTCCAAGGGCAACCCAGATCCTTAAGAGATATCTGAGATATCTCAGTAGGGTGTTTATTAAAGACGAGTGACATTTCTGGGTTAGTCTGTTTGTTTGGGGTCAGTGGAAATAAGATATTGTTCTCAATCTACTCTTCTCTGAAAGATGCTATAAGCACCTGACAGTTTTTAATTCAGGATGACTTATTTCAGGATGCGGTTTAGGGGCCAGCAACAATTCTTATTGGGCTGGCCACTGCTCACTGTGCACTGGAGGTAAAGCTGGAGATTTTTCAGCCTTTCCACAACTCCCAGTGGGTCGAGGACAGCCAAAGCTTACACTGGCCACAGAAGCAATCTGTGCAGCCTGGATAACTGTGGTGTTATAATTATGGGAGAAGCCCTCCCCTCCAAAATCCTAGGAAACGACACAAACTTAGCAGCTTGAGTATCTTTCTACCAACTACTCTTCCCTGAACTTAGGAGACTCAGTAGCCCTTTTACATTGCTCCTGAACAGAGCAGGAGCAGGACAGAAATAAGGCCCAGCAACCTGCTGAGCAGTGGGGAAATCTTTATATTACATGCAGCCATCGGCACAGTAGGGAACTAGGTGAAGTTACTTACAAGCAGAAGGCAATGGTGCCCTCATCAAGGTCTATCAGACAGCTGACAATGTCACCTGCTGCCCAAGACTGCAGAAAAAAGAGAAAAAAGAGTTACATGTTATCCAGATTATTCCCAATGGCTGCAACACAGCCAACCTTTTGTGATTTAGGGTCGAAGAAGGGACAGTTCCTTCTCACAGTAGCTCACGTAGCATTTTCTAACACTTCTGAGAGCTGCACATAAATCACTAGCAGAATATTCTCTCCCTCAGCACCAGAACAAAACTGGCATTTGCCTCAACACCGCATTGCCTCTGATGCGCTACGAAGACTCTAAGCCTTCCAGAGGTGACCAGCAGCTCTGTGCTGGGATTCAGTCTGCTGGGGCTGCCAAACAAAGCACCCACAGAACTTGTCCAGCACCTGATCGGAGCAGACTCAACAGCTCAAGGGCATTTCACAGTGTCCAGCAGAATCCAGCCAGTGAAAGGAGCTACCTGCTTTCTTCTCTTCACTACATAGCCATCCTTCTCTTCCCTGGATGTCTACTCACTTTGCCGTAGTTGGTAGTAGTCACGTTCCACTTGCGCACCCTGTTTCCATCGTAAGCGTAGGAATCTGGTGTATCTCCAACTCCTTCCTGCATCGAAGGACAAAAGAGGAGACTCAGACTTGACCAAGCATAGAGCCACAAACACAATACCTGTCTCACTGTAGCTCCACAGAAAAAGCAGCTTCACAGGGGGACCATCACACAGGGGAGAGCAACCAACAGCACCATCACACAGGGGAGAGCAACCAACAACATTAGTGCTCTGACTGGGCAAAGAAAGCCCTTGTTCTAGGAATGAAACCAACAGGCGATGACTTTTGCTTCAGAGAAATACAGTATTTTCCATTTATTACTGGGCTGGAAGAATCTTGGCACTTCCACGCCTTAATCACTATGAATAAATAAATCAAACATCCCACTCGGTGCCTGGGAAGAGCTGAGCTTGGCCAGCCTCTCCTAGAGGAAAAGCTCTGAGCGCTGGCTGCTGCGGGCTGCCCTTAGACAAGCTGCCAGCACCTCAGACCCACATGCTCTCCGAGAAGGTGCCAGCCAGTACCTCCTGATTAAATCTGCAGCTGAGCGTACACCAGCCAATCTGCATGAGTCCCTGGGAGGAGATGAGCACCTCGTAGATCCATTTCCCTGCAAATGGAAGAGAGGTGCCACACGCTGAAGCCATGCCACACGGCCTGCTGCTAAAAGAGGCAGCATCTAACAGTGCCACCTCCCCAGAAAAGACTGTGACACACAAAAGAGTTTGGGGAATTCCTCTGTCCTTGCAATTGTCATTTGGAAATCGTCTGCTTTTCCAACTTCCTGGAAAAGGCAGTGGATGAATTAGGGGGAAAAAGGGATCCAGATCTGGAACTGTAGCATATTTAGGATTTCCTGAGCTCTCTAGATGTGTAATTCACCACACACTCTTCCTCAAAGCATCACCTGCTTATCCGCTTACCTTTATATACGCACGTCGTGGCCCTGATGGAGCCGAAGTTACTGTGGCCAATCACCTGCACCAAGAAATAAGCAGGTTTTAAAAGCAGACAAAAAAAAAAAAAGCATCTTTGCCCAGGCCTACCACCCATTCCCTCCAGCCTAGGTCGCAAAAAACATGACAGAATGAAGAACTATTCACAGAGCACAGCACAGGGAAGAGGTGTGACACCTTCCCCACCCAGCAGCTGCAGGCAGAGCCAACAGGCCCTGTTGGCCTGGGATGGGGAACCATCCGTGGTGCTCCCAACAGCTCATCCATGCTTGGTGAATCCCAGCGAAGCACTGCAGCACACCAGCAGTACAAGGGCCACGTGGTAACACTCAGGTTCCCCGTGAATCGTGACAGTGTATGAAAGTAACTGCTATTTAGGAAAGACAGCTGAATCCCCCAGACAAGCTAAAACAAAATTATAGATACAGCATGTCCAGATGACAGCTCAGGATAAGCAGGTATTTAATATGCTGCACAGATATACCTTTAACTACTGACTCTCTCAAGCTTGGGACAGACCATGAGAAAGAGATGAAGGTAGCAATAGTGAATTCACAAGCAAGCCAGTCAGACCTGACATGGGAGTAGGTTCCAGGTACAGCCAAGAAGCAAGAGCGTGTGGTCAAATGGAAGAGGGGATGAGAGCACTCTCCTTTGCCGAGGAGAGGAGGACACATGGATTAAAGCACAGCATGTGCTCACGGAAGGGCAAAAGGAATGCAGAAACTGCTGAAGTAGGAGAGGATGCCTGTACTCTCCTGATTCTCTGCAGGAGGAACAGAAGCTAAGGAGCAAGCAGGGAACTCAACAGAAATGAAGGAGAAAGGAACATGTTGAAACAGCAGCAGGGGGGCCTCATCCTCAGCCCTTCACCACTCTTAAAGAGAACTGGAAGGCAGGCAGGAATCGGCAGTCTGCTGGAGGGAGGCACAGGGAAGCTGGCTGCTTTCCCTTCCCTGGCTCAGCCAGGCTCCTCAGCGAGCTGCAGGCCTGGTGAACACTTCCCCTTTCTCACACTCCACTCAGAGTTTAAGACTAAGGGGCACTGCTAGGCTTGTCCCCGTGTCCTCCTCATCCAGTATGAAGACCAAACTGAGAAGCCCAAAGTGCTTTTAGTCCCACATGACTGTTTCCTACTGCATGAACATCACACTCACCCCAAGTAAGTCATCATCAACCAGCAGGAGCCCCTCAAAACCGCTTGTGTGGTCCAGCACCACAGGAGAGGGACCGAGCCGGCCCTCGGCTGCCTGATCTGAAAGGAGAGTTGCAGGAAAACCTGTTAGGGAAAGTTGTGCGGGATTTAGCAGTACACCTGATGAGTGCCACCAGCTGGACTACAGCATCATCACCTGAATTCTGCTACAGTGGAAGATGACTAAATATTGCTGACAGAGCACAGGAGCCTCAGGAAAGGAGACAACAGAGAGATTCATAAGGAGGTTTTCACAACAACACATGAGGTCTTAGCTACACAGCAGTCAGGTCATATGTTCAGTTTTCCACGTCACCTGAAAATTGTCGTGCTGAAAATTTCAAAGGCCAAACTAATCTTTGAGCCAAACATTTGGCCAATGTATCATATAACAAGCTAGACTCTGATTACAGGCAGCAAGAAAAAGAAAGTCTTCTTTTTAGAAGAGCCAGATTGTATCCTGCCACATTCTAATTCAGAGGAACAGACGTGAGCAGCAGGAGAACCAAAAGAAACACCCATGGGGGAAGCAGCTCACAGGAATCTTCAACAAGCCTCTGCCTTTCCCAGTGGGAACAGTACTCCACAACTGGTCACAGGCATGGTTTAGCCCATCATTATCAGTACAATATCTCCAGTATTTGCCCCAAACTGTTTTGAAAGCAACCAGTCAACAGCTTGCCTGGAAATATGCCTCTTCCAGCTACAAGCAGACCTACTTCCAGGATGGCCGATGAGCAGGCAGGATTTAAAGAGATGATAATGAAAGCACAGAAGGGCAGTGCTCAGTCAGGTTGCCCTTCACAAAACAACTTGTTCTTCCCGCAGGGCACTACAGGAAGAAGCAAACCTGGACAAACACTCAGTATCTCCTACCTCGACCGTCTTCAAAGCCATTTTCCTCTGCTAGCAATCGGTCAAGGTGTTCCTGCAGGTTCTGGAACGTCAGATGCTTTCTAGGGAATAAACAAACAGAGGAGCTTTTCTGAAAACTCTCTGTTCACCAAGTTTTTAAGGATTTCAGATCGTTCATTTGAGTCAGCACTGTCCTGCACTGCTGGATGTGAACCAGAAAGTTCTGTTTTTCCACATTTCCTGTCATTAATCTCAGCACATTGAGGCAACAGATGAACCAAGGACAAAAAAAAAAGAAAACTGTGAGCAAGCAAACTGGTTAACAAAGGATGTTAAAGCTTTCAGGCTGATCAGGAATATTTTGTGGCAGTAAGAAAACTAACAAGCCTGTCGTATCAGCAACTACAGAGCAGGAGTTCAGCACAGTCAGCGCTGTACAATCACAGCAGGTCAGGTTTATTTCTTCTCCTAAAGTTCCTCATATTATGAAACAAGAGAGAAGATCATACCAGAAGCTGTAGTAGGTCATTCAAAGATTGATTTAACTTAACATCCTCTCCAACTACAGCCAAAACCATTTTCTCTTCATGCTTTTTGCACGGAAGAGGCCTCTTCTTTCATTCATTTGCATTTCATAATAGCAGCAAACTCGGCCACCTCATGCTCACCCACTTTTCAAGTCACTTAAGCATCCAGGCCACATCACAGACTATACTGCAGGATTTCCCTTTACTGTGAGAGTCATTACTTACGCCTGTATCTGCTTCCTGTTTCTGAAGTCATCGGTGGAGCAACTTTCCCTCTTCTCCAGGCCTATAGTGTCCCTAATACACTATGGCAAGAGACCTTTGGAAAGCCTGCTGGGTGTGAAGATGCACAGAGGTGGAATCAAGCAATTTTGGTTGGTGAGAGAGGTGCTGGCTTCAACTTAACCAGCACGGAGAAGTTTTTGAAGTAGCATAAGACAGCTAGACACAGCCAAAACAGCTAAACACATCTGCAACAAGCTCCCCTGTATGGAACTTCGGCCTCCAAAGACAAGACACCAAGCCATAAAACTTGCTCCTATATTGGAAATTTTATGTGCAAGACCTGCTCGGCTGCTACTGGGCCTTCTATCAAATAGCTGAGTCCAAGAAGGAAGACAGAAAAGGACAAAAGAAAAAAAAAAAAAAAAGAGAGAGAGAGAGAGAGAGAGACCAGTCCAACAAAATACCAGCTCTGTGCTTTCAAGTCATTAATCCTGGCCAAAAAAAAAATAGAAGTATTGAAAACTCAAACTGGACAAATGGAATATTACAAGGCACGCTGGCAGGAGAGCTTGTGGTAAAGTAATATGACCCACTTTGCTTCTCCCCTCGCTAAAAAACCCTTCGCTTTCCAAAGGACCAAGAGCTATTTTTAGCAGCTCCAAGCGCACATTCGAGCTGGCAGCAGCTAAGTATAGCTTAGGTGGAATGTGACCCAGGCGCGCTGCAGCGCGCTCGGTCAGGAGGAGCTACACGCTGGTCTTGTTCCTACAACGCTCATACTTGTGCTCAACCTGTCCGACTTGTCTCTGGAGAAACAGCTAAACACAAGGGAAGTTTTTCTCAGGCAAAGCTGTAAGTTTCTGGGCTATGAGGTGAAGGAGAATTGAAATCAAATAGAAGAAGACACTAAACGGAAGCTTTGAATTGCTTTTCCTTTGGTGACTCCTAGTAAAAACAGTACCCACAGGTACATGGCTTGAGAAATGTATGATATGCAGTGCATCAGTAACAGCCTTGCAGGGCACTGTCAGATTATTTTTCACTACTGCATCTGAAACCTGTGCGTTTTGCACTTCTATTTACCTTTATAAGCAGAGGGGGACACAGGACCAATAACGTCAATGGCTGCTTGCCTCCTTATTCCAAAAACACTGCCAAGTGATTAAATACGTGAGTTTTTACAAATAAATTTTTGAAGAATCCTTCCTGGAAACGCCTGCAATTTGAAAAAGCCTTTGAACAGTAGGACCTAGGAGCCATTTCTGCAACAGGGCACTGCTGTTCTTTGAAGCAAACTCATTGTGTGGCACTGAGAGAGCTCTCCTTTCACCGCAGTATTGCATAGCTGGCGACTGACACAGCATCACTTGCCATCTAATGAATGAAGTCCACTACCTGTAAGCAGCTGCAGGCTGGACCCCATCAGCACTGGTGAAGACACGATGCAGATAATCATTCAGCAGCCTGCTGTTCACAATCCCTTGCAGAAAAATAAACAACAGACACAAAATAAGCTTTGGGAGTTGGAAGGTAAACTCAGAAACATTAATTTTAGGAACAAGGAAGAAACTGATAATGGAGAAATGATGTTCAAGTTTGCAGATCACTGTAGTGAAAAGATGCAGCTATACTGTACTATAAACTGTAGTATAGCTACTGAGATGAAGATCTTATCTAATCTAGCCCACAGCTCACTCTGATGAGGCAGGCCTCATTTTAGCTTTTGTTGTGCAAAACAACCCCTAGTTTCGTATTAATGCAGCTTAATTACTGGATGCAACAGAGCCCCCAAACACCAGATTCACAGTCTCTAAAGCACACTACTGCCAGACTGCTCAGTGCAAGGGAAAAGGGACTGCCTAGCAGATGTTGCCATTTCCCAAGTATGGACTGAGCTGAGAACTAGGGAAGCTGTCCCTGCTGGAAGGAGATCTACCTGCATCAGATGGGCAGAAACAGTGGGCACGACCTCTGTGGCCTGCAGAGGCAGAGCTGTGTGCTGAGGAAAGAGCATCACGGACTTCTGCTGGAGTCCTCAGCACTACAGGGATGCTCTCCCAGCAGCTAATCCCACTTCAGGCGTTCATCCAACTCCAATCTCACCACAGCCAGAAGGCAGTTGACCCAAAATGAGGCAGGGGGTGGGTTTACCCCTCACCCACAACAGTCCTGCTTCTACACGGTCTGCATAGCCACGTACCTGTGACCTTGGACTTCTCCGGCTCCGTGCTCAGCCTGTAGTTCTTCCTTGAGAAGGCAGTGCCAGCCCCTCTTGACGTCATTCTTCACGGACACCAATTCCCGAGTGGACATAAGACAGACAGGCACCTGGAGCAACGTTTCCTGGGGACGATCCTGCCTTTACGCTTCCCTCTTCTTGGAGCAGGATGTACCTGGACTGAACAACAGGGATAGAGCAAACACGCATGAGAGTCCGTGTGCTAACGAGAACACCACACAAGAGCCCCAGAGCTTGACCAAAGCGACTGCTCTCAATCCACCGCTCCAACAGCTCCAAACCTTCTCGCAGCAGACAAATCAAACCAAAAGCAGGGACAGCACCAACCCAGGCAACCTCTGCAGTGAGTTGGGGCTAGCGGCACTGAGCTAGCACGGCAACCACCCGCGCCAAAGACAGCTGAAACCAGCAGCCACGCTGCATTTTCACATGTGCCTCATGAGGCACTTCCACTTTTCTCTCCCACGTTGTATTCTTCAAGACAAGGATATGCACCTGGTTTGTTTTAACAGATTATTATTCAGCAAAGAAAGGAAGAAACTGAGCTAAACCAGGCTAAAAAAGAAAGAACGTAACTGACTACAAAGCAAAAGACCTTGAGATCAAATGTCAGCTTTATTGGGGAAAGATGACATGTAGGCAGATGTACAAAGAAGCGTTTAGAGGTGAGAATCTAGCACTAAAGAGTCAAGATTGGGTATCCGAGCCAATCTGCCACACGCCAGGGCAAAACAGGACCGAAGCAAAGATGAATAAATGCAGAATAAATGCAAGTTGCCAGTTCTATCCAGCTCCAGAATACCAGCTTATACCCCTCTGCTTCCTGGTTATCCAGCTGGCCAGCCAGCACTAGGAGTGTGTCCTTCAGGAGACACCTGTCCAACAAACTGCTTTGGGGCCAAAAAGAAAGAGGCAATAAAAGCAACAACTGCAGGAATTAAACGCTTGCTGTTGGCTTTGCACGAGAAGAGAAACCAAGGTGAACCCACGAAAAGCCGGGGAACTTGCCAAGGGTTGCAAGTGCCCCAGGCAGCCCTCTGAGAGGCTGCTTAAGCTTCGGCTAGACTTCAGACAGGATTTCTTAAAGCCTCTTTCCTCCAGAGCTACCCAGGAACAGTGTCTTACTGCCCTGGCATGGCCCCGCCAAGCCAAACGGCTGCAAAAAGCAGCCCGGACCAACATCCCTGGACGATTCGCGTCGGGTATTTAAAACAGCAAAGAAACAACTAAACAGAGTCACATCATTTACTACCAAAGCAGAGCAGTCAGCAAAATACCTACTGTAGGCGCACAATGCAAACACGCATCCCATCCCCACATATACATCTCATACACAACCTGAGTTGAAAGCACTTTTAGAAAAAAACACTTTTACCCCAAAAGGCACCACTTTGTATCAGAACTGGCAGGTCAGGGCCGCCTCTGGGTGCTCCTTGCTTTTCCCTGTATCCACAATGCCACAACAGCCTCAAAGGCCAGCTTGGGAGCGCAGCACAAACACGGCCAGCACTCGGCTGGACACGAGATCCGCTGTCCTGGCCGGGGATTTTTCCCACCGGAGCAGACGCTACTTTCAACAGGTCGAGGAAAGGTTTGAGCAGCAGCCGGGGGACACATCTGCCCCCTGCACCATGCCAGGTTGTGTCTTTACGTCAGCGCAGCCCCAGCGAACCTGCCTGGCCCCGAGCTGGGCCACGGCTTCATCCCCATTCCCTTGCCAAAGGAGGGCAGCTTCCAGCCAAGAGGCTGGAAAAACAAGGCGGGCGAAGCCAGGTCTCCAAAGAGAGCCGACACGGGAGGGACGGTGAAGCTCTGAGGCTGGGGCCAGTAGGGGCCGACTGATCCCCCCCGCAGAAACCTGCCTGCCCCCTCAAAGTCAAGAAACACCCCTAAGCCCAAAAAACTCCCCAAAAGCAGCAAATCCGGGACCCCTAAACGTGGCAGCAGGGTTATTAACCCAGCAACACCCCAAAACGCGGTGACGTTGCCCAGATGCAGGGGAAAAGGCCAAACCGCCCAATCTGACCCAACCCCCAAACACCCTCACACCAAAAACGCCCCCGAAATGGCGCGGCGAGAGCCCAAGCCCCA